CGCATGCGTAGGACATTCTGCATGTGCTTTGAGATTGCAGCTGCCATTCCATGGTGGTAGCCAGAATTCTCTTACACACACATAATGTGCATTAAAGGGTAAGTTCATTTTCCCAGCTAATATAGAAAAATAAAAATTACCTGATGAAATCTGGCCCTGTCTCTCCCAAACCGCCACCCCTCTGGCTATACTTACCTTTCTGCGAACAATCCCTCCCCTCCACCAGTATGGGTGTACTATCTGTCCCCCGTACTGCTGTCCAGCGCAGTCCTCCCCTATGCATTTTGCGCTGAGCAGTGAGAAGCGCTATTTAGCACAGTAAAATATGTTTTGATTAGGGGTGCACCGATACTAGTATCAGTGCAGATACAGTGTATTTGGGCAAGTACTCGTACTCACCCAAATGCTCCGATGCCTTCCCCGATATTGGAACTTACGGCCAGATGAAAATTTCCTCTGACTGGCAGTGCTGTAGGGGAACATGGAACCAGCTTCCCGTGCAATCAGGAAGCCGTGCGGCAAGTAATGACCCGCCTCCTGGTTTTCCGATTGGCCCGGGAAGCTGGCTCCTTGCTGATTGGCTGTAAAGCCGGCTTCCTGGCCAATCAGCATCGAGCCAGTTTCCCGGTCAATCAGGTCATTACTCGCCACCCGGCTTCCTGATTGACCGGGAAGCAGGTTTCCAGGCCGATCGCAATCAAGCAGGCCAAACAACATGGAGCCGGCTTCCGTGGCAATCAGGAACCTGGGCGGGATGTGATTACCTGCTGCCCGGTTTCCTGATTACCAGGAAAGCCTGCTCTATGTCAGCGGAAGCACCGGTATTAGTATTCAGTGTCAGCGAGATCCGAAAGCAAAAAAATCGGTACTCGTACTAGATACCGAAAAACCGGTATTGGTGCATCCTTAGTTTTGATTAAAACAATTTTTTGTATTAGGACAAGTAGATTGTCGTGAAGGACAAGTAGATTTGGCCCCCACTTTAGCCCTTGGACAAGTAGTTTTAAAAAAAATTTCCACACCCCTGAGACGGAAGCGCCACTACCTGGGCGCAATAAATGTGGTGAAGCAGGGTGAGAGCGCAAGTGGTGTACTCACTTATGGTTGGGTGAGCGTTCGCTTTTAACAATCGGGCTGAGGTGCACACGATGGAGCGGTAGCAGCCCCTCTTTTGCAGGGTGGTGTAGTGGTATAGCCAGGTGGAGCAGATGGAGACACAAAAGTAACGAGGTGAGGCAAGAGTGGTGAGCGAAGGAAGGGAGAACTTTGTAACTCAAGTGGAGAATGGTCCTCAGCGACGACGGTGCGGCCACTGTAGTGTCTGGATGGAGGGCCGTGGGGTGATCCTCTGGATGACTGCTGGAAGTCTCCGGTGTCCGGCGCTGTGGAGCGATGCGTTGTCGGAAGGTAGACTGGACGGCAGTGGAGCTGCCGGGATGTCACAGCGCCCGGTTGCACTAGGACATGCTGAGTGTAGGGGGGGGATACGGGTCCAGAAAGAGCAGAGGTGGGTTCACGTTGTGGGCTCCTAGCAATCCGGCAGGTCTGTGTCCGTCAGCAGCTTGCTTCAGATGTCGGTAGTAGAGGTGTTGCGGCGCGGGCCGTGGAGAGTGGACCCGAAGCTGGAGTGAAGGAGGGGGCGGAGCCCTGTGTCCAGGACGGGTTTGCTCGAACGGTGTCCGTGGGGAGATGGAGTGTTGGAGACACTCAGAAAGTCCGATGGGACCAGATTAGGCTGGCGGCGACGCGTTTCGAAGGTGAAAGCCAGTGTGTAGGGCCCTACACACCGGCTTGAAAATGCGCGGGCCGTGGAGAGTGGACCCGAAGCTGGAGTGAAGGAGGGGGCGGAGCCCTGTGTCCAGGACGGGTTTGCTCGAACGGTGTCCGTGGGGAGATGGAGTGTTGGAGACACTCAGAAAGTCCGATGGGACCAGATTAGGCTGGCGGCGACGCGTTTCGAAGGTGAAAGCCAGTGTGTAGGGCGCTACACACCGGCTTGAAAAAGGTTTCACCTTCGAAACACGTCGCCCTGCCCCCTCCTTCACTCCAGCTTCGGGTCCACTCTTCTCGGCCCGCAACACCTCTACTACCGTCATCTGAAGCAAGCTGCTGACAGACACAGACCCGCCGGACTGCTAGGAGGCCACAACGTGAAGACACATTCCCCCTACAGTCAGCATGTCCTAGTGCAACCGGGCGCTATAACATTCCGGCAGCTCGACTGGCGTCCAGTCCACCTTCCGGAACCGCATCGTTACCCAGCGCCGGACCCCGGAGACTTCCAGCAGGACATCCACGCCAGCAGTCATCCAGAGGATCACCCCACGGCCCTCCATCCAGACACTACAGTGGCCGCACCGTCGTCGCTGAGAACCATTCTCCACTTTCCCCGCGGTGAGTTACAGAAGTTCCCCCTTCCTTTGCTCACCACTCTTACCTCACCTTGTTAATTTTGTGTCTCCATCTGCTCCACCTGGCTCTAACACTACACCACTCTGCAAAAGAGGGGCCGTTCCCGCTATCGCTCCACTCCATCGTGTGCACCTCACCCCGATTGTTAAAAGCGAACGCTCACCCAACCATAGGTGAGTACACCACTTACGCTCTCACCCCGCTTCACCACATTTATTGCGCCAGGTAGTGGCGCTTCCGTCTCCAATTTTCATTCACTTTTCACAGCTGTGATATTCTGAAAAGGCGTCTCGTGTCCGTCCACCACTCTATCCATGCCTTCATCTCCCCACATGTATATTTTAGATTTTTCTTGTTTAATTTGTCATGTTTGTGGCTTGACATCCATGTAACTGGGATTTTGGTATTGGTACGCATCCCAATCACTGACTTGCACTGCTTGTATAGTACAGCAACTGCCAATCTACATTAGAAGGGTCCGGGGGGGGGTTTACCTGCTGTCAATGCGAGTGGCATGTGCTGGCTGACTTGTGTGCTGGCTGACTTGTGTGCTTGACATTAGCGTACTTAGAAGGGCCGGAGAATATATGAAACAGCAAATTTTTTTGGGATCAATGTACGCTTTAGCAGAGTTCTTTAAACAACACGAATGGGACAATACGTTGACAAATAAAATATTAGTTCTTCCATTAATCGATTGATAGGTTCACCTCTGAGTTTCATAGCAACTGCGGCTAGTCAAGTGTAAAGTTAAGTCATTATACAGCAGGGTATAGCTCAATCTTGTGACTGGGTCTCGTAGCCAAAGCTGCCCCAAATGCAATATCCTTTGGTATAAAGAAAACCTTTGAAGTCTGAGGCCTGCGCCAGATTAATCTGCTGCCCTTTGGCCTCTGTTACTAGAAATACAAAGGCGAGGGATGAAGTAATTTTAGGATTAATGTGTTTACCGTGTGCAAAACACAATGGAAAAATAATGACTCCATAGAGAATGACATTATACTATGAAATAATTTTGTTACCGTCATCTCCTTGGGGCCAAATAACTAGATTGAAGTGAAGGAATAGTTCTGTACATATTAATAGTCTTTATAATGATTAGGACTAAATAATTAAATACTGGACCCGCAGGTGGCGTTCTCAGCTCCTTTTTACAAGTTTACAGTTCCTCCTTACCAACCGTTTAATAACCTGTATACAGAGTTCAATAACGCAAGCTGAAATGTTCACACACAATAACACCAATGTGCATTGTGCCGGAGGCACAATTGTTGGTCCCTTGTGGTGTGTTGGCAAATTAATGGGTTGCTTTAACATAACGCACGTTACCCTACTGCATCAGACTGCACAGGTGTGAAGGGGGCCCAGGCTTTGCACTGCCAAACTACTGTCCTGTTTTAGAAATACTCAAACCTAAAATCACATAAAAGGAAGTCTTACAGCTATTTTTGAAAAGAAAAAAAAAAAAGTTCCGTCTCTAACTAGGAAGCACAATAGACCCCATACCACTTTCTGTAGCCTTAAGCTGGCCATACATGCTTCCATCAACTCACACATCTCCGCTGCCACCTACAGTCCTTGCTCCAGCCTCTGCTGAATACCCAAGCACCTGACTGGATGCAGGCACTGTTCGGTCAAGAATTTTCAGACCGACTCACCCAAAAAAAAAATTGACTTCTATCCAGTGGGGTGCTGCCAACTGTGCCACACACAGCTCGAATTCACTAGAGTGCCCCTCTGATCCTGGTTACTTTGTTACCGATAACCTATCAAGATCACATTAAAGAAGCTGTAACCAGAATAATAAAAGTCTCGGTCTAAGTCTCCTTAATTTTTTTACAATCAGAAACGAATTTGGAACCTCACAACCAAACGCTGCTCATGGCACAGGTCACTAGATATTGTGCAGACATGCAACTTCTATAAGTTGAAACTTCTGAAGGAAGTTCTGATCACGACCTACAAAAAAATGATTGTTTGGGGAGAAAGATTAGCTTTGTTTTTGCAGTTCTGGTAAACCCATTAATGGATAAAAAGGAAAAACAAAAAACACCAAAAACCAAACTAAACATTTTCAGTGCCGGCTCAAGTTCTGTTTAAGTTGAAGCAAAGAGTTTAATTGCAGATCTGCTCATCTGATCCTCCCACTGTTGTTCACCACCATCAATTCCTCATTTTTACCTTGCTTGGCACTGGAAACGTTTTATGAACACACACGTCTTGTTGAGAGCCACTACATGTAAAATACAAGCTCTTCTAAAAGACGCCATTAATAACACAGACATACATATGTCACAGTTTACTGTACAGGACAGAATTTGTTGCCTAATGGGCAATGGGGCTGTTGGAAGTCAGCCGTGTGCGATAAACATGAAAATGGCTTCAGCTACGAAAGCATTAAATACGTCGGTGTATGTTATTAATAGAGCTCTTCTTTAGGTCACCTTGTATTTTATCTTTATTTGGTCAGGTAACACACTAGCATGGCTCAAGCACTTTCTCCACCCGATAGATTAGGACTGCACGACAGACATGCGGTTACACAGGACACCAACACGAAACCACGAAGAGCACACCGAGAAACTCACCTCATTGGAAGAGAAGGTGAAAGTGTGTGAGCGCCCCGATAGGGAGGGCTCTGCCACCAACCCTGACAGGTCAGAGCAGGGGCTGTAACTGTATGTATCATCTATGATAATTCTACTCTGAAAACAAGTAGAAATAAAGAATGAATTATCTGTGCCCCTGGCAAGCTTTATCACAACAATAGGTTTGTGTACCTCTGCCTTTGGCACACACATGAAAACCTGCACACCAAACTAGAACAGAAATGGCTGCCTTGTGACATTCATTGCAATTTACTGGATTTTGAAAAGCAACTCAAGAAATTATGGAGGAGAAAAAAAAAAAAAAAAAAAGTCTTCAGTTTACTTCTGTGTTCCTTCAAAAAGGCAATCATTCTGCCTAGCAGGTAAGGTAAATATCTGAATTACAAATGCCTACTTAAGGCTGACATTAGGCTTCTGGTGGAAGTGTTCGATCTATAAGATGATGGGCAGAAGGGGGAGGCACCTAGGTGGGCATACAGGAAGTGTGGTGATCCGTACCAGTACAGGGGCAGGCAACCTCAGCACTCCAGCTGTTTAGAACTATGAGGCATTGCAAGACTGACAGCCACTGGCATGACTCCCAGAAGCAGAGGCCTTATGGGATTTGTAGTTTCACCACAGACAGAGTGCAGTGGTTTACAGAGAAGGCAGGGCAGTCACATAGGGAGATCACAAGAGTACAGGCATCATTTTAGAATTGTGTAGATGAAGCAGCTCCTAAGCATGTCTTGGCTGTGTATTCACTCATTTCAACCTACTGCAGACAAATCAAAACAAAAAATACCCAGAATTCCCACATCAGAATAGAATAGGAGGCAGACGAGGCCTGGATAACAGAGGCCCTTGACAGGAAGAAGGTATCCTGCTCACATTTCATGACTAGGGATGAGCATCCAATTCCCAACCCAAGCTGTTCACATTCGACAAATGGGTGAATGATTCGCCAGTTCTCCGCCCGCAGAACCTCCCATTTGTGCCCATCACCCAATGGCACTGCGCAACCTGGATCATTGGTTAACTGGAGGCTGAGCCTCATCATGTAATGGTATGTTAGGATGCAGATGGCCATACAACCTATGCTGCAGTGGGGCTGCCAATGCCTTAGGAACCAATGACACTCTGCAGACCGCACAGTCACTGGTTGTGGTTGTTAGGACACAGGAGCCCCTGGTTACTACCCTTGGAATGGGCAGTGGTGCTATAAATATTTTCATTATGGTCAGAACTAAAAAAGGTATTATGTAATATTGCCTCATCTTTTGGTTTCAGACCCCAGGAGCAGCTTTTAGGCTCCCTTTAACTCATATTTCTATTTACAGGCATTACAGCTTAATTTATGACAACTAAAAATTATCAACTCAGCCCCCCGACTGCTTCCCCATCAGACCGCTCCGATGTGCAATCAGATAAATGCAAGCTGGAAATCTGGCTGTGTGTGCGGTGCTCCCTCTTAACCTCACCTAATCCTTTGAGATTAGGTATTTGCCACACCTGCAAGGGGACCGTTTACGGTTCCGAAACGTCTTTGTGCACAGTGTTACCAGGATTGCCTAGCGTCTTTAATAAAAGGCAGTTGCACGTTGGACCTTGGAGTGCGGGTGACTTAGAGACTGTACAGTATGTAAAGTGCTGTGTAAATTGACAGCGCTATATACATGTCTGTAATAAGTGTGAGATTTCAGTGGAGCCTACAGTTCTTCAAGGGTGAAGATTTGACTTGCCGCCCCCCAGAAAGGTAAGAATTAAACATGTTCTTTTATGGGTTAGCTGTTCATTTTTGTTTTACTGTAGCAACAGGATCACCTTTAACTGCTTGCTGACCAGGTGTTTAGGCCCCCTTTCTGGCCAGGCCATTTTTCAGTATTCAGCGCTGCGGTACTTTGACTGACATTTATTCCGTCATGCAACGCTGTACTTAATTTTATACCATTTTTTGGGGACACATAGCGCTTTCTTTTGGTGGCGTTTAATCACCACGGGGGTTTTTCTTTTTTACTATAATTAGGAAAAATGACTGAAAAAAACAAAAAAAAAGTTTTTTTTACATTATGTTAGGAAACATTTATTATTAACCAGTTTTTTGGTAAAATATAAAAGATCGGGTCAAGTCGGGTAAATAGACACCAAACCTATCAAGCTTTAAAATTGTGCGCACACGCTGCTCCATGCTCTCTCGTCACTTGTGACGAGAGCATGGAGTCGGCTTCCCGGCCAATCAGGAAGCCGGGCAGTGTGTAGCGGATTGGTCGGAAGCTGGCCAATCAGGAAGCCAGGTGCCGTATAATGACGCGGCGCCCGGTTTTCTAATTGGTCGTGAAGCCGGCTTCATGCTCCGTCACCTCATGACGAGGGAGCATGGAGCCAGCTTCCCGGCCAATCAGGAGGCCGCGACATTACACAGCGCCCAGCTTTCTGATTGGCCAGAAAGCTGGCTTCATGCTTTCTCGTCACTTAGTGACGAGAATCATGGGGACAGCTTCCCTGCTAATGGGGAAGTCGGGTGGCGAGTCTTTACACGCTGCCTGGCTTCCTGAATGGGACTTCAGGTACTCGGCATCAGCGAGTAACGAAAAAAAATATCGGTACTCGATACCGAAATACCGTTATCGGTGCATCCCTAGTCATTACTATCCCTCAAATAATAAATATGTAAGTTACAGTTAATAGAAAGTAGATTGGAATGAATTTTCTCCAGGTAATTAATTGGTTAAGGATTATAAATATACACTGTGATAAATCGACAAGGAAATTATAGAAGGAAAAACCAGACTGCGGTTTCACTTTGAAGTCAGCCGGTGTCAGCTGCCCACAAGATTTTACACACGTTCTGACAATTTACTAGCTATTGTTTATTTCCCTACTTGAGGCAATCAGAGCGGATTCATACTCTTCAATTAAATAAAGCAGGACACAGTGAGATATCATTTTTTTTTTTGTTGCGGACGAATGTATAAAGGGTTTAGTATTTTGAACGATAACAAAGTACGAGATATTGTTATCCTTCAAAAAGCACAGCTTCTTCTTGTATCTCGCCAGGATCTTAGAGGTTCAACACAAGCATTCCCAGCTCCACAAACCAACAGCAACCATAGGGGGACATTACTCTGACTCCTGCACTTCCTTTGCAGAGGAGTAAGAAGAACCAGGAAATACAATGGGGCGCCTTCATTGAGTGCGAGTTCCTGTGAGTGATCCACCTCACCAGCATCCATCTAAAGCCAGTGTTGGGCTACCAGCTTTCAACATCAACTACCTTTCCTGTGGGTTCCAAAGACAACCAGTTTGGAAGAAGGGTTGTAAGAAGAACGGATCCTAAGAAGGGAAGCTTGGCCCTCTTGCCCTGACTGCAGGACTGGAGCTCAGTTATATTCTACACAATAAAATTTGCTAATTAGTCCCATATTGAGAAGTCTTCTTCCTGCAGTTAGACAGACAGGTCCCTCCATTCTACGCACCTCGTAGTACAGCACTTTGTTCTGACAGATTATTATGAGTGTCATATTTGGACAGATTGCCCAGCCAGGGTCATAAAGATCAGTGAGAAAAGCATCCAGCTATTATTTACATAGCAGATATTTTGTTATCAAATGAGAGGTCTGAAGCGGGTCTCAAACGTTAGCTAAAGTGGAAAACCTGGATGGAGTGACTACGATTCAAAGCGCAGTCCCACATGTGATCTTCCAAGCAATGCAGGAACCCAATGGGCTTGGTCAAAGCTTCAAGAAAAATTGTAAATTCATCCACCCATAAAAAAAAAAAAAAAAAAACATAATTGTGCATTAAACTGGACTTTATGTAATCCATCAAGAAAATCTAGGTTGCTAAAGAGCTTTTTTTAAATGTAATGTAATTTATGGGTCAAACAGTATATACATATTCTTATTAAACATTATCATAAGATTTTCCTATGAATAGTGTCTCTCAAAGCTATAAAAGCATTGCAATAAATCACTGTGAAATCTAACTAGAAAGCATAGCCATGCATCTTGTGGAGGATGAGAGCTTTATCTGGTTTCCAGTAAATGCAAACTCAAACACAACTACTGTACATACAGCCATCTTCGCCCCTGGTACTCTACATGTATAGAGAATAAACCTGCATAAAGATACCAGCAGCTACCGTGATGAGGAGACTGTGTGATGGACAGGAACATCAGTGCAATGAAGAGTAGACAGCGAGTCTACAGGAAACGTTACATGTTTTATCTCAATGTTTACCTTGTTTCTGCTTCTCTCTTGCTCCGCAGACAGCTCAGATCCGCTGTGTGGAAAGTTGAAGCTTCCGCTAGATTCTTTATGGCTCTCACCAAACCAGGAGAAGGGCATGCATGTAGGGACTGGAGAGTCCGAGTCAGACAGTGACTGGTTACCACCTTCATCTAGTAACTCTCGTGATCCACTAGAAACATGCAAGGTGACAGAATAAGAAAAGCCTCGCTGTTACCATGCCAACATCACACAAAACAGAAAGATATTCACCATTTAAAAAGAAACCTGTTTTTCTTCCTTCATGCTGGATTCCCACCACATGACTGCATTTACTGCACACTGACAGTCATCCTTTTTTTTTAGTAAACACATTGCAGTGCATGAGACACAACATGACAAATTACTATTCCCTTAAAGACTATCTTTCTGACCATGCTTCATATTACACCCAAATTCTGGGAGTAACATATAACACGGTCACATCCACAGACCCACAATTCTAAACGACCCCTCCTCTTACCAGAATCCCATGGTTTAAAATCTACAGGATTCTGTATATATCTGAAATTGGCATGGCAGGATTTGTAAATGGAGCTATTACATGTCCCGTCTGCAACTGAGGGACTCATAATTCTCAATGGAGTACAAGTGCAATGACATTAACGTACTTCTAGTCCATTGACACTTCCTCCCATCTCTGAAAGTCTGCAGCTCGATACAGACAGGGGCTTCATAAACAGTCTGCAGAAGCCCGAGCATTGGACCCACAATCCACTGACCATGGTTGCAATGTTTTGCAGGCTTCAATAAAGCAGCATGTCCCATTTTCAACCTGCACACACCAACCCAGCGTGTTGATGTGAACTGGACCCATTTTTACTTCATGCATTGGGCCTGTGGGCCTGAGAAACACTGCCCAATGCACATGGTGTCAATGAGTCCTTACTGGGAAAGTAATATATGACCAATGAGAAGCTTGGAGCAGAGTATAGTGGGATTGGCAGAAGAACCCTTTCGTCATAGGCCGGGTATTCTGGATTTTTATTTTATTAGCAGCTAAAGGGCTGCAGGTCACCTTATAGATAAAAGAGAACTATGGAGTAAGTGTTTTCCCCCCATAGTTCTTTTAAGGGTCACGGGAGGACATATACTAGCGTCTTCCAGTGACTCAAAGCTCACTATATACAGCTTGTGGTATACCGAGACTGACGCAGCAGAGACGGATCCCGATTCAGTTTTTTTTAATTTTCACTCATAGTTCTCCTTTAAGTTTGAATGTCCTACCTTATAAAACCATTCAATGTAGCCTGCGCCAAGCCAGAGTTGCGAGAGGCAAAACAAAACATTGAACCAAAGTTATAATTACTTGGCACTTGCTGTGGTTAAAAAAACATTTACCGACTATCCAAGGATCCTCTCAGACTCTCCCGGTCCTGTTTTTTGCCTTTGCCTCCAGACTTTCGCATTCCCCTAAAGTAACAAATATTAGATTGATGAAACTGATTAATGTAACCCTGTAGTGACCGCTGATGTCACAAAATGCTGTTCATTCACCGCTGAAAGTATACATTTCTCTGTATGCTAATAGACAAAGCTCAATGCATATGTGAGGAAGTTATTAAATGATTTGGATACTTAATATGGGTGATTGCAATCGGAGACTGGTTTAAAAATACATTTAATAAAACTCTTAAAGGGGATGATCATTTATGGAGAACTGACATCAAAAACAGAAGGTGATCTGCCTTCATGAGACCATATAGGTGTCTCTTAAATTATTCCTAAATCTTCCCGATTTATAGATGACCAAAAAACACAGTGAGATTGTTACAAAACTGGAGCAGACAAAATCTGGAGCAGTTGTGCATGAGAACCAGCTTCTCTCTTCAGTTTGTTCAGTTAAGATTTGAAAATTAAAGTGAGAAGCTGATTGGTTGCCATGCACAGCTGCTCCAGATTGTGTCTGCTCCTATTTTGATAAATACCCCCCCAATGACTTACATAATGTGCAGTACCGCGTCAGAAAAGCAGACCGATACTATTTAACCTACCAGTAAATTTGACTTTTGAAGAAACACCATGTACATGTGAGGAGGAAAAAACAAGCTCCGTCATGAGAAGGTACTGGTGGAATATGTTCCCAGGATCCCTGTGAAGAACTTTTGCTAACCTAGGAGCTATCCTGAACTTTAAACTGATGCTAATAGTGAAGTTACTTAATAGTTAAAAAGGTACTGGAATGTAATTTTTAGGATTTTACTCGTGAGTTTAGGGTCACTTTAAGCCAATACTGTAAACAGACCACAGAACTACAAGAAAATGGTGACTGAAGATAAAGTGTCATATTATAAAGCTGCATTCACAAGAATAAGAGGCTCAGGAACTCTTACCCAAAATCAGGAAACCTTCTCCTATGCTTTCCAGTGGCTTCATTTGCATCAGTGGTTTTGTCATCACCTTTCTTCTCTTCTATGTGATCAAACAAGGCTTACATCAACAAAACGGACATGTTAAAACAGAAATGATATCTGCATTGAAAACAGATGGGTCATCCAAATACTATTAATGTCTACCTCTTCTGTATTCTGTGCAGCAGATTATCAGCAATCCAGACAGAAATTTACTGCACTTCTCCTCTGACCTCACAACCAAATAGTCAGATGTGGAGAAGTTAGAGGATAAAAAAATCAATCAAATACAGCTTGTTAGTTTAAACATTCTTGTGAAGCAACAAGACCGGAGCCAAATAATCAATAATGCCTTGTGTAGAAGATGCTGAATGACATGGCAGTCTTGGATTTACCCAATCTGCACTCTGACTCAGTTGCTTATCTAGGTTTTTTGCATTTAATAAGGTGTGAACAAGTGAATGTAGAGCATACGTACTTCAACACACATGATATGAGAGAACTGTTGGCACCAGAAGTCAATTTGTGATGCTCCGACTATATGGACACCTCGACTGTCCCCAGCCCTGTTCCGTCAACCAGTCCATGTGCCAGTTGCTTTAGTTTCAAGTTTACTTTAGAATGAACAGTGACTAGAACTTGGCAGGTACAATAAAAACCTTAAAACAGGCCTTGCCCTAAACTACAATCAACCTCCATTAAGAGCCCATCTTCCCCCCTGAGATTTGGGATCCTCATATTTCCAGAAGGCTGCTTAAAGCGAGTGGCAATTTTACATGAGATTGGGTCTAATTTAGTGCTTTAAAAGGTCTGCAATAAAGTGCAATGCCAGCCCTCTGCCATCTATTCTACCATATACCACCCCCCCCCTCAACATACACAAAAACACTGTCTGGCAATCATATCAAGCCTATGCTCTTTACCACCATCAGAAATGTTTGCATGGCTTCACACTTCAACCGCCCCTTCCATAGAACCATTCTTTGCTCTGACAATGTCTCCTATGTCACAATTATTACTGCTTCTGGTAGAGGAGAGTGACTACATTGCTCAGTTCACCTTGACTTTGGGGATAGATTTTTTTTGGCTTAAGATTCCACCCACAGCTTACTGCTGAAATCCCAGAAAGGTATACGAATCTACAGGTTGGTTTAACTCTTGGAAGACTGCTCAAGATTAAAACACCAGCACTGGTTTTTAAATCAAAATATACAAAGTGTGCTCTCTGCATTCATAAACTGGTGTCAATTATATAATAAATAGCCAGCAAAAAAATGAGTATGCTTAAAAAATAATATATGGCACTGTAAAAGATACACAACATAAACCGTAACATTGCTATAAACAATAAAAAAAAACAACACCCCCCATGCTGACAAATACTGCCCGTTTTAGGAAAATGACATTTCGATTAGTAAGGGAGCCAGTAAATGCAAACCTGTTAGCTGAGTTAATGAGATGTTAATGGCCCATGTATTGTATGTATTACACAAGCTTGCAACACATGCATTCAAATACCTGAAAAACAGTACATACTCTCACTTTATTTTATGAATAAAAAACAAACCAAAAAAAGGATTTGGTTTTAAGTCTCCTTTAAATGCTTTACCCTAAAGAGTGCTGAAAAATTACACACACGTCTGACTCTAGTCTGCAGTATAATCTGTATTGCAGCTTCAGTAGCAGCCAGGGCACAGCAGAGAAATATATAGGAGACGTTATGCCTCTCCCTCGGCTGGGTCATACAACCTGCATTTTAGCCAGATCTACTTGGTCTCTGCAGTGTCTAGGGGTGAATAAAGAAAAAGTATTTTGTCCTGCACATGGAAACAATGAAACTCTGTCGTAGAGAGCTGCCTCCAGCTACACGCCATACATTTGCACTTCGTAGGATAATTACAGAAAAATATCTGAGATAACTCTTCTCTTTTTCTGATGTTACAAATGCAACTTCCTTTTTTCTGTACACAGACTTAATCTAATACCTAAGCTTACCTTTGGCGACTTTGCCTTTGCCTTTAGATTCTCTCACTTTGGTATTCCTAGTGTATCCGCCTGAGGAACTCTGAGCTAGCCCTTCCTCAGTGGGAGACTGACTGGAGGTTAGAATGGTTTCAGTGTTAGTCCTGTATGTTGGGGAGGAGGAAGTGGAAATGGAGGGGACTGACTCCAGGAGAGTACCTAAACTCTCGGCCGCTTGAGACTTTTCAGCCCTTTGATCATCATCCTCGGCAGCTGCCAAGACCAGCCGTTCTTCCGTCTCTTCTGCTACTTTTTCACAAGGGCTCACTGTCTCTGCTGGAATTGTGTCTTCATTCTCTTCCTCCTGTAGAATTAAATGTAAAAATAAATATTAAAATACCATTAAAAACACAGATCTATATATTGGATTCTTTGAGAGCACCCAGGCATTTTCTTGTAACACTGCACTATTACCAATTCTTTACTAAATCTACACAAAATACCAACACATGCATACACATATCCTCTCTGAATGGGTGAATGTGACCCATGAATCAAATTTAATGTGCCATCAGAACTTTTTTTTTAATATATATTTTACATAAGCAATTAGAGCTGCAACAATTATTTGATTAAGTCAATTAAATTCGACGATGGAAAACGTTGTCAACACTTTCCATCGTCGGCTAAAATTCAAATTTCCTGCTGGGCCCTGCACGCTGCTCACGCCCGCCGCTTACGCCACGCCCACCGCACACGCTGAGGACATGCGTCTGGCCCTCTCCTCCCGGTGAGCTTTCCGACCCGCCGCTGCCTGCCGACAACACCGATGCACGCCGACAACACAGTCATTCATAGTAAGTCGAGATCAGCCGGGAGCTTTTTAATGTTTCCTGTGTTTTTGTTTTTTTTCCTTTTTAAAGTGGCACACTGCAGAATATTAGCAGCTATAGAGGAACACCAAATCCCAGCAATACATTAAACACCCTGCATAATGTACTATTGCTGGGATTCGTTGTTCCTCTATAGCTGGTAATGTTCAGCAGTGTGCTGGTGTATTATAAATTGGTAATCTGTAGAGCTGCAACAATTATTAGATTAAGTCGATTAGAATCCAAGATGGAAAACGTTGTCAGCGTTTTCCATCGTCGATTCGTCGGCTAAAATTTACATTTCCCACTCACGCCCGCCTGTTCGCAGCTCCATACACGAGTTACGCTATGCACGCCACGTCCACCACGCACACGCCATGTACCCGGCCACCGCACAAGCCGGACACACGCACGCAGAGCACGCTACCGCAGCAACTTACAAGGGTTCAGAAACAGGTAAGGGGGACCTGTTTTAATGTTTCCTGTTTAAAAAAAAAAGTGGCACACTGCAGAACACCAGCAGCTATAGAGGAACAAATCCCAGCAATAATGCATTAAGCATGTAATATTGCTGGGATTTGTTGTTCCTCTATAAGCTGGTGGTATTCTGCAGTGCGTTGTAGAATGATTATACGGCACAATGCAGAATACCAGCAGCATTGGAGGAATGTAGCAATAGTACATTATACTATAATGTACTATTGCTGGGATTTGTTGTTCCTCTATAAGCTGGTGGTATTCTGCAGTGCGTTGTAGAATGATTATACGGCACAATGCAGAATACCAGCAGCATTGGAGGAATGTAGCAATAGTACATTATACTATAATGTACTATTGCTGGGATTTGTTGTTCCTCTATAAGCTGGTGGTATTCTGCAGTGCGTTGTAGAATGATTATACGGCACAATGCAGAATACCAGCAGCATTGGAGGAATGTAGCAATAGTACATTATAGTATAATGTACTATTGCTACATTCCTCCAATGCTGCTGGTATTCTGCACTGCACTGTATAATGTACTATATTGCACACCACACTCATTTTTTACTTCCACCGTGCCAAGCTTGCTCCCGTGATAGACTACAATCTCAATAGAAACTAGTAGTCCATCACTGGAGCCTTTTTTTTTTTAATCCGATTAGCCAATTAATCGAACTTAATCGGCTAAGTAATAGATTATGAAAATAATCGTTAGCTGCAGCCCTATAAGCAATCTTTACTGGGACAATAAAAACCCCCCCCAAAAACGTAGAATTGCTGTACCTGAAATCTGCCTTATTTAAAAAGTCTCAGGTTAGTTTTGTATGCAGTGCCCAGACTTCAGCTTTGTCTCTAACAAATCTTCAAAAAGATACAAAGGGCAGCTGGCAGGCCCATGATTACCACACAGGTATCGGTCATGCGGACCTGCACTGCACTAACTTCATCTTAAATCTATTTTTCCCCACTACAGATACTTTTTTGCATTTGAATGTATTGTTTATAGCAGTGGTTCTCAACTCGTGGGTCACGACCCAAAAGTGGGTCGCGACACCCTCTGCAGTGGGTCGCGGCGTCATGTCTGCATAGACCGGCCCATCTGCATTAGAGAGAACTAGAGGGGGAATTTGTGGTTCAGCCTGTGGAACCTCATAATGTCAAACTGTCCCCTCTCTCCCGGCCTCCCCCGGGCTCTCCGATAAAGTGGTATGGCCCGGGGAGAGAGGGGACTATTTCCTCACTTTCGGGCCGGCGCATTAATATCGGGCTGCGGCGCCCGACAATTAAGTAATAGTTCCGGTCTGCACGGGAGAGTACAGCAGATATCAATCCGCCGCTGTATCTACTGTACTCTCCAGTCCAGATAGTTCAGTCGGCTGGAATCAGAGAAAGGTAGGCAGGCAGACAGGGAGATGTGCACTGTGGCAGGACAGGGGACATTTTTTTTTTATTCATTTACTTTCAGCAAAATATATATTGCTGAATACTGCACAAGTTGTTTTGTGTAATAAATTAAAATGTTTCAGAAATGAAATCATTTTTGGGTCACGCCTTAATGACCAAGGAAACATGTGGGTCCCGAGGTTACACAGGTTGAGAACCACTGGTTTATAGGAAGAGGGGAACCTCTTTGAATAAGCAGACCTTGCTGAAGTGATAGGTCCACTTTCAGGCCAGAAGCACATGGGTGATTCCACTTAGTGCACGTGGTACAATACTGGGGATCAAACCATATGCAGTGTATAGTGGACTTTATTTCTCATTCTTGCAGCTCGCACCAATTGAATGTAGAACAATCAGATGTGAAATACATACTCCACAGTAATGGAGAAGCAGCTTCTTCTATGTAAAAATACAGGGTTAGCTCATTTTTCTGTGAGGTGAGAAGAATTAGGATTTTTGTAGAGTCTCCCTCCTAGAAGTTCTGTGCATCTCTTGTGGTATTAGGAGACTTAGATAACCAGTCAGTGGAGTGGTCAGTAGCGGTATCTACCACCACAGGGCAGTTAGTTTTGGCTTGCTAGCCCATAGAGGACTGTAAATGAGTGGTTTCTGCCCTGATGCCTCACACAGAAATATCTAGAGGAATGAGTCTTAGTTATCAGTCAGCTGTGAAATCCTAGTACATACCTCTGTATACGTGGCTTTCCCTTCAGCAGTGAATGACTCTTTTATTTTGTGCCGGGATGGTCGCTGGCGTTTCACTTTAAGTGCCAGCTGAGCTTTCGCTTTGTGTGCGCTGGTGTCCAAGCGCTGGATTTCTCCCACACAGGCATCAAAATCTACAAGTAGAGGACACAGACTGAGTCACGTCTAACAAATGCATCATTTTAATCACTAGGAACGTTTTTTTATATTTACATTCAACAGAGCAATAGTAAGCACATAACAGAACATTAAATGACAGGCAAACTGTGTATGTGGGGCAACTCTGGCAACTTGCCTAAATATTAGGCATAATAAACCCCATAAAGGACCCTCGTATATTCCCCCC